TTAATCGAAGTAAAAAAAGTGAATAAAGGCAAAAAATATACATATTTGCTCTCTGTCTACCTCGTATGAGACTTGAAATGATATACTGATAACTTTTACTAAAAAATTCAATCGCCGCCATATTTTATAAGAAAGATTAAGAAAGATAAAAGAGAAAATATGAATTTAATATATATTCTTTATTACCTATATATTCTTTATTACACTAAATATCAACAAGTTAATAAAAAATTAGCATTTGATGTGCATCATCGAATGAAAATATATATTAAATGCGTTTTAAATTTTATGTAAAAAATTCAAATTACGTAGTAATAACCGCTTTCAGCAATTATTTCAGTAATAACAAAATTTGATTGCCTATTTCGCATTATTATCCATATTTTACAAATTCTTGTAAATTGTCATAATTATTGTTAAATGTGTGTACGTAGAAACGCTTAAAATAGGTACGGAACCTTACATAAGTCCGACACGCTCTTGACAACTTTTTTTTAAAGAAAAAGGCTTTAATTCAATTTTCGTTGGCTGGCACGCGGCAGTACTAAATTTCTGCATAAATGTAATGCGGGCTACGAATTTATTTCAGCGTATAAAATAAATAGTTTTACCACAACATTAAATTGTAATTTCAAATAACGTTCCAGTTATAAAATAAAAATAAATATACTCACGACCGTAATTTCATATAGCATATTAGTTTTTTTTACAAATATGCAATGGTTTTTTTAATAGATTATAATTAAATGGTAACCCCGCTTGCGCTAACAGTAAACGCTGGCGGACCACCAGTAAGAGATGATATGTGGAAATGAAAAGGCACACCACACACACAAAGACATACCTGGAATTCAGCACAATGGTTTCCACTTGGGAAGTCGATCTGACAGGGTATATTTCTAGCAATGGGACTGGCAATCTGCATTATTAACAATCCGATCCCCCCAATATGTAATGGTACCTACCCGTGCTGCCTGTATGCGCTGGTCGAGTAAGGGTAAAGTAAACCAGTAAAGGATGAATGGTGAAAATAAAGTTAGACCAGTTGGCCCATCGTGACGAATGTTTCTGAAATTAACCACGATAGTTTCAGGGAGACCACGCGGAGATCAACTTGACAAGATATATTGCAGAGATATTTGTCGACTTTCAGCGTTATTGGAAATGTAACAGTTGACATGCAGAATCTGGCGGCGAGCATATCTAAATCCAGTTTGGCAGGAGACGAGCCCTCCGTCGTCACAAGGATTAATTTGCTTTGTTTAACTGTGTTTCCATCAATACAGGAAAGTTTGGTAGGAAATTTAAATTGGCTTTGTTCTATCACATAACTATTGTTTGTAGTTACTCTTTTCAGTTCATTTATGTACAAGACATAAACAAATTGAAAAAAGTAACTACTGAATTTCTTGCCGTTTCTTCTAAGAGAATAACAACATTCCAAACAGTAATAGAATCTGACTACAGTAACTGCTTACCATCCGGTGGGCCGTATGCCTGTTTGCTACCTCAATGGTATAAAAAATAAATTGAACTCGTAAACAGGTCTATTTAAATAAAGATTATTTCTAATCTATTCTATTGGGTCTATGTAAGTCTGGATAGTACATTGAACATAATTTTTTTTTTATTATTTCATAATCATTATCATTTCAAAATTTAACAAACCAAAATTTAATAATAGGTAGTGTTAAATTATTTTATTCGATACTATGTACATAGACGACTACTACTACTACTAGAAATCTTACAGTAAAATTGGCCGTACAAAATTTTTTTATCGCTTAATTATTATTACAGCTAGGTATATTTGAATAAAGTTTTCTATAAATATAAATAGTAAAAGAAATATAATATCAGAAATTAGTCCATAACCTCAACTTTTACTTTTTATTGTTAGGAAGGTAAACAAACTGATGGTTCTGCTGATGGAAAGTGAATAACGTTGCCCGCATAATAATCGACATTTAATTACTATGAAGGTGTTTCATTACTATAGTTATTGAATCAAATCATATCAAATGGAATGTATAATCATCATAACAAAGATATAAGATACGATAAGTTGACATATATATATATATATATATATATATATATATATATATATATATATATATATATATATATATATATATATATATATATATATATATATACAACTAACTCATTTATTTAAACGAACGAGATGAAAATTAAAAACAAGTTCTCGTTTCGAATCGCACCATACACGTAAACAGCCAATCATAAAAAAGCAATTCCATTAATTCACAGTTCAATTATTCAGGACATGTCATAACAATTAATATTTTAAACCATCACCTGTTATTCTCGAATGAATTCAGAAATCGTTTTAATATTTTGATAATAAAATTCTGTATGCTTGGTGTTCGTAACTCAGTTAGCAACTATTGTTTTTTTTTTTTTATTTGATTTGATACATACTTTTACAAAACTGCAGTAACTTTTAAGGAGTGTTAGTCACAGTATTCATATATATTTATACAAGAGACTACAGTATCGAAATATTTAAAAATGGCATAAAATCATTTTTTTAGATTCAGTCAATAACATACATATATTGCCCCTGGCACTTTAAGCATTCATAGGCTAAGGCTGCCACTTATCGCTTAGTAACAGGCAGACTGTGTACTTGTTTTCGATCTTATAGATATATATTTTATAACTTGAAGAACTTCTTAACAAGTTCTGTATAAATAGTAACATAGACTTGATATATGTCGTATCAAATTTAAACGTACACTTTAAATTTTCACCTTTCAATTCAGTTTTTTATTTCATATGAAACTCCACCTGATAGAACATAAAGACCACAACAATTTTTGTCGCCCATAAAAGCTGACACATTCCTGAATATCAAAGTGAATTTTTGTTTATTGATACAAATAATAAATGAAACAAAAGAGAATTTATATCTAACCATTTGGAGAATATTTGACCATATTGTATCCAGCTAAAATCTATTGTGATAAAATTTTACTGTAAAATATAATTTTCCTTGAAGAGTAAATACATGCAACAAAGATTATAAATTAAAATAAAATGAAATAGTTAAAAAAAATAAAGATTAGAAATTAAAATACGTAATAAAAATCAAAATTTGTTGTGCTAAATTTATTTAAAAATCTCTCACATATAAATTATATCACGTATTTAACAACTATAAGTTCAATATACATTTCTCTAATGGTCATCTGTTTTGCAACCCAATTCACTGTAATTGTTTTTTTTTATATATTTTTCTCATCGCTGTATATTAGATTGTTATCTTTATCAAAAGCCAAACCAAACGTATTCTTATGTTCTAAAATCTTTCGAAGCTCATCCTCTTTTGTAACTTTATATATCCCAAAATTTTAACATACGTATAAATCACCTTCATTATCTTATACTATTTCTTAAACTATTATCAAATCACTTATCATTCTAACCTGCATTTTCACATTATCATATTTATAGAAACCAGTTTTGTTTGCAAAATAAATAATATTATCATTCGTTACATAGAAATGATGATATTCAAAATCTATAAATTCCATTATAGCAGCAAATTTACTATCAATTTCTATATGTAACTTTTGTTTAGGACAACTTATATAGAACAAGTTTGTTCTATAGAATAAAGACCAAATATTCTTTCCATATTCCTTATAAACGTCGGCCAATTTAGTCAGTATATTATAAGTATAAATACCGTCACTGCCTCCTAAATAAATTACATCGTTTCCTTGATCTATGGCAACGGAACAACCTCCTCTTATTCCGGCAATTATTTGATGTTCTTTTGTATCTATGTTTATATATGCCAATTGGAAATCGACATCAAAATCCGTTACAGAATAACTGAAGAACATTATATTCGATGATTTGTGTACATTCAAGTAATAAGGTCATTCAACTTCTGACCACAACATTTCTTTTTTGTAGCAATGTTCGCCTATTTTTATACGATTACATGATTTTTGTGGAATACTGTTAACTGATACTAGCGCAATTAACATTATATATATTGTCCAACCCAATCTTTTATATAAAGCGAATTTCTGCAAATTTAAAATGCATGTATTTTATTGGTAAATGAAATGCAGACTTCATTTTCAGTTACAGTTTAAAATTGTTGCACAATACATAAAGTAACGTTTAATTGACGTAGAGAACGGATCCGAAAATAAACGATATATTTAATTAAATATATTGCAAATTAACAATGTTTCTAATGATTCAGGTCATTTGGTCCATTTTGAAATGTAGTAACATTTCAAAATAGTCCAAAGTCAAGCATAAAAATATAGAAAATATTTAGGAGCAGATTTGAAAATTTACTACAGATAATACAATATTCAAGGTAAGGGTTCTTAAAAAAGAACGTATTTAAATTCCTTCAGGGTTGACAATACACACATGACATCCCTGGTGTTGCGTCCAAAGGCAGAGTTGTATGCCTGTTTGCCTCCATTGTAGTATATAAAACAAAAAATGGAATAAATAGTTTTCTTTTTATTCTCTTGAGAATGACAATGATTCCTTATTTTCTATCGATAAATCGTAGTGTATCAATATTTTTTACATAATTACGTATTATACTGTAATAGTGAAAATATTGTAATAATAAAATACATATTTATTAATTACCATTCCATTAAAACTAAATACAGATCTCAATTATTATTTATAATACTTGATTCGCTTGCATAAATGAGAATTAACAATGAGACGATAGCTATTATTAGTGATTCATGTAAACATAATTATGATATCTAAACATGACATGAATATTGATGCAATAATGCATTGTGGCATTAATAATTATCAAACCGAATCATTGTTTGGGAACTCTGTTTTATTTGCTTGTGTAATATTTGATTGAGCCTAATTTGGAACGGAAGAAAATATTAACAGATAATACTTATATACCAGGTATTTATAATTCCAAGTCAATAAAAATTATTTTTCCTGCTTATGTGTAGTTACTGCTAACTAGCTAGATCTATTAACTCACAGTCTTTACAGATTAGAGTTATAAACTATAAATTTTAATTCATGTGTCTGTTATGACGTAGGCATCCGCTATGATATAATTTCCTAAAATCTGTAAAAGTAAGAGATAACACCATCACCCTGACGAAAATCACTGTAAATGTATAATAAAAGTATATAACAAAAAAAACATATTGATCAATTTTCAATTAAATATTATCTGCCTAATGTATTATAAATCTATGTTATGCATATTTTTATTTCTACCAATGATATTGTTTACACTACATATGCACCAAGTTAATAAAAAATATCTTTTTGAAACTCTTACTGTTCTTTTTCTTTAGGAGAAACAAGTAATTCATGACATATAATACTATAATTACTATGTAACAATTTATATATTGCATCTTGATCAGAATATAAAATATGGTCATGTTCATCAAAAGCCAAACCAAACGCCTGATTGATGTCTGCGAGTTTTGATATACGATGATAAGGTTTATCTTCAATATATATTCCATCACTTCCGCAGAAATACGTATCTCCATATCCATCTTCAACTATTTGTCTTATAATTATTTCATCATTCAAAACTATAGGTCTCTTCGTATTTTTTTCAACTTTGTATAAAGCAGTTTTATTAGAAAAATATATATCCATATTTCTTGATATAAAGAAATGATCCACTTCTATATTCCTAGCTTCAGCAACTTCTACAAATGAATCATCATTGTATACATATAATTTCTGTGTCGGATATTCTATATAATAAAAGTTTCTTCTAACAAATAATCCCCAAATAGATTTTCCTTCCTCCGCAAAAAATTCAGCTGATCCCGTCAGAAAATTATACTTATATATACCATCATGTCCACCAAAAAATATGTCATCATTTCCTGGATCATAAGCTATAGCATAACCACCTGGCACGCCCTGAATATTAGAGCATTGTTTTTTATTGACATCACATGCCATTATGGCAAAGTCAGTATGGGTATCATTTTGTAACGTGTGACTAAAGAATAATATACCAGAGAATTTGTGTAAAATCAAATTATATGGTTTACCAAGATTATTAAATAATAATTCTTTGTCATAATAAACATTGTGAAATATAATTCCATCACATAGAATGCTATCTGTTGTTCTTTGTCCCAGGACAATAGTTATTCTCATGAACAAATAAATTATAAAGAGCATTATATGTTTTCGCGAAGACTGTAAAAATATAAATATAGTTTATATAAAACCAGAAATAACAAATTAGCTACCAGCTAAATTAAAAGTGAAAACTGTTCATCTATACTTAAGCACATCTACATGTACCTAGAGTGACATAAACAACCGATTAATACTAAAGGCACTCTTTTATATTTTCAAGTCAACCTAATTAGTGTAAAACGCAGTTTGTTTGTTTATTACCTCTTAATGCCTTCTCGGTTTAGCCAATAGTCATAAAATTTATATTAATACACGGAGTCTTTAATATAGTAAAGGACAGCTCACTTTTTATCTCAATCAATATATTTTAAAAGCAATTCTGGAAATAAAAATACGGTTGATTGTAAAATAGAAATAGGTCGTACATGACCACCATTACTTGACATGGGAAATTGTGCAAAAAAATTATAACTAGTAATTTTTAATTAAATTAGTTCAATGTCAGGATCATCATATCTCAGCTTTTAGCTGGAAGGTGAATTGGCAGCTGTAATTAGACTTTATGTTTTAAGTAGGATGCTGCTGCCCATCTCTGAACCATTAATTTCTAAGTCGCCTCTTACAACACATACGCGATAAGAAGAGGTGGCCTATTCTGGCAGTGGCAGTAAATTAATTGTTAATAATTATATTCTCCAATTAGACTATGTAAATTATTATCATGAATTTGTGCTTATTTAGAAATTTATGAGAATTATTTAACTTTATCGCAAATAATGAAAGGCCAAACAAATATTACCTGAAATTTTAATACATACTTTAGCGAAACACCAATATACAACTAAACGATACAATACACAGGCGCGGCGTATCGAAAACTAATAACTTTCAATGCAAACGACCAGTGTCGCATATGGCAATCGAATGTATTTGTTGCAAATAGTAGGTACGTCAACATTTTATTTGTTTATTTTATAATTAATAAACAAATTACTAGATCTCTGTTTGATTGTTATTTATTTAGGTATTGCGTAATAACTTCAATTATAACTATGATTTCTGTTATAAACATTGTATTGTTAATCTGTCCTATGCTGTAATCCAAAATGGAATAACCAAAGGCATCAATCGACTATTGCTGTAATAGTGAACGTAACATTTTAGCGTTACCAGATTGAGTATTTTCTCATAATTTTGAGTAAAAGTTTTGTATTCGCGAAGTTTTGGAGAAATGTATTCTTTGAGACATCTTAGGAAAAAAGTGAAATGGGCTTGTAGAAATTTGGGCAATTGTTTATATCAGTTTTGATAATTGTAAACCGTAACTGGTGATATATAAACACAATACAATAAAATATACCAATTAAGGAAGCAAAACAGAGGGTCAGTAAAGTGAAGCATAAGCAATGAGCTTTTCAATCGATTTAAAAAAAAAGGAAGATCTCAATTCAGTTAAAATTTTATTAATATCTGTTCAGTACTAACATTCTTACCAAAATAAGTTAATATAGTATAACATTCTTACCTTTGTAACCCCTAGTGGTTCTGTAGTAAATCAGCTGTGCTTACTTCACTGTACTTCGATTTGAAAGGTAGAATATGGCAGAAAGGGAAATGAATCATTAGGAATGGGTTATGATAGCTCCATTGCTAGCAATATACCCTCACAGGTCGACCTCCATGCAATTGCCCCTGACAACCACCGTAGTTAATTCTTGACGAATTCATCGCAATGAGCTAACTGACCTACTTTCATCCTTCACTGGAGCTCCGCCAGCATATACCGATAACACGAGCTGAGTTACCACTCTATTATCATCTCAATTTGTATTCATAATGGATTCAAGTTACATGTAGTTAATCATGCTCCCTGTAAGGTATTGACTAGTGGTAGCGTGGTGGACCGAGTCCTTGAGTTTCTTAAAATATGGTTGAGCGCAATGATGCTGCTTGTGCAAACTAGTCTACTTATATTTACTTTTTTATATTCCACCGAATAATACATATAAATAGAATTCAATGCAATTTAGCCACAGTGTCCACACAAATGTAAAATTGTCTTGAACATAACAATTTGAAAAGAGTAACTGTTAACTTTATTGCGGATTCGTAGCAGATAACAATATTCCAAACCAGCAGTATAATCATAAAAAATGGCAATTTAAAAGGGCTGTTAACAAGTCTATTTGAATACAGATTATTTCTATTACATTCTAATGCATAAGGAATAAGTGTCCATATTAATATATATAAATACATATTTACAAGAGGGAGACTTTGTACAAAAGTCGTCTGCTTAGGCACCTCTGTCTTATTCGTGTTTCTACCATGAAGCAGTTGTATTTGCATGACTGTCTTTCGGTTGGAAGGATGAGATATAGCAGTGAATTTACAGAAATAACATCTGAGTCCTCATGAATGGCACCGCATGGGGGGTATCATGGGCCAAACAATATACGCTGTTATGTCCACGGTTCTGCTCATATGTATAGGTGACGATTACCACTTTCATCAGGTGGTCCGTCAGCTTATTTGCCATTTTAAGTTACAGTTAAAAAAAATTACAAAAATGGGCTTGGAAAGGAGAGCAGAGATTGGCATGTTTAAAGTAAAAATTAACCTTATATCAGATATCTAGAATTCTATTTTAATTGCAATCAAAATCTGCTCTTCTCTCTGTGCCGGACACTGAAGTTACTCTAATCGAAATTAATTCAATATATTAGATAATACCACTGGACATTACACAGCGCCATCTAGATTGTATACTGTTTAATAATATTAGGATGTTCACTTGCTTTTTCTCTTGATGTTAACTCGGTGGAATAATATGAAAGCAGGAATATTATTAGCGTTTCAGGAAAATATTAAAGGTGCACGAATAAAGGTGGTGTCTTAGTGAACGAAGACAAGATTAGGTACTGTAATCTCTATTAATCATCCCGTATGGTCTCGGCATAGAATAGGCCACCCCTTCCTTTCCCGTGGGTGTTATAAGAGGCGATTAAGAAAAGGCGAGGGATAAGCAGCAGCGTCCCTCTTAAAACATCTCCAAAGCCTAGCTACGATTGCTAGTCCGTCTGCCAAGCGTGGCAACTACTGACAAAAGTCCCCTAGAGAGAGATGCTTATATTCAGCAGTGGACAGTTAAAAGCTGATATAAGCTGAAAAAGATTTATCGCATCGATAAATCTCTATTAATCTACGAGTATTGATCCAGGTTTAGGGCATTGGTTTTGGATCTCAAAAATACTATAATATTAAAAGTTTATTTCACTTATGTGATATTGAATATATTAATAGTTACGTATGTATAATAAAAATAGTATACTTTTTTTAATCTACATATATTTATACCTATGTTCGGATTTATATATTCATTACATACAAGATAATTTTTAAACGATTAATTAAATAGAAATAATGATGAACTCAAACATGGAGCTCACAGGTTCATAAATTGATAATTTTTGACGTCATCAATTATACTAACACCAAACACGCTGTTTATCTAGGTCACCATCTTCAACCACTTAATTCTGTCATTTAATTACACTAATAATGATACAAACTATAAATAATATATACCTACACATTTATTTCAGAAATTTTGGTATACCTAAAGCGCTTTATGAATCGCTCCGCTTCTCTCACTAACAACGCTACCTCACTCATATGAGCTCGCTTGTATTAATTACTTCTTTGTGTACTTGTGCAGCTTTATGTTAAGCTGAATTCTATGCGAGCTTAGCTGAATAAATATCATCATAATTGCTCCTGAAGAAAATGTACCTACATAAAATTGTCGCAAATATTTAAACAACTGTACAAGAAAATAATTGTGTACTAACACTCATTGGTACGACCTGGCTTGTCCTAATTACCCCTTTGTGTACTTATACAGCTATAAATTAAGCTGAATTCTAAGCGAGCCTAGCTAAATAAACATCCACATAATTGCTGTTAAAGCCATACACAAGCCGTGTATTTTACAATTGTAAATAATATTTACCGCGATTTCCAAAAGGATTTTCAATTCGTCTTATTTTTTTTTTTTAATGTGTATTTTACGATAAACGTAAAGTAGTAACAATCGCCGATAAACATAAACAGCATTAAAAACATCTCAAACATGGTAGGGTTCTACCGCCTCTTGGACAATGGGTTTTTGGGTAATTTAGTTCAATCCAAACCATTTAAATAAGTGGCAGTTTTCCACCGTGCACTTCTGTGGACACTTTCTTCCACGCCCAACCATTCTTTGGGACCAACGCCCAGTTAGAAAAAACAAGTTTACTTTAAAAAAAGAGTACATTCCTTCCTAAAAGGCCAGCAACATACATGCAATTCCTTTTATATTACGGGTGCCTATGAGCGGCAGTAATCTCTTACAATCAGGTGAGCTGCATGCTTGTTTGCCCCTATGTTATAAAAAAATATGCTTATAAAACCCCTCATGTGTTCCCATTTTTGTGAACAAAAATGTTATCCTTTATAATTTCACTGTCATATTCCATCCTTCAAACAAAAACATATCTATGTAAACTCAGCTGTTTGATGGCAGAAAAACAATTCAAGTAGTAATACCAATCCATACTCGACGAGATTGTTGTTTTTGTATTTATTTGTAACTAAGTACCTAATCAAAACTCAATTTAACTGGTAAGCAAAATAACCTTACAAGAGACCCTATCTCCTATTGTTCTAAGTTTAATCGAGAAGCAGTCACATTAACTAACCAACAAAAGAAAATGTTGAATTCTGTTTAACAGGACCACCCCTAAAGAAATTGTTGAATTTTGTTTAGCGGAATGCCTTTAGTGGATTAGGGTAGACGCAAACATGAGGATAAATTGACACCAATGTGTACATTTTAATTTTTCTAATAGTAGCAACTTAAAAATATCATAGTTGCTAATCATATAAAGATCAATCGCAGAGTACGTGCCAGCACCAACAGCATCCTGAGTATGATAGCAAGCAGGCTGGACTGTGTGTACGTTAGTCACTGCTGC